AGGATTATATTCCTTGTGGGGAGTTGGTACATGTACCTAACATATCTTTTTGTTTTTGTTCTGTTTTTTGAGTCAGGGTCTTGTTATGCAGTTCAGGCTGACCTTGAACTAACTCACTATATATATACTCACTATATAGCTCAAACAGCCCTCAAACTCATGGTGATTCTCTTGCCTCAGCCTCCCAAGTGCTGGAATTACAGAGTGCACCATGCCAGGTCTACCTAACACATTTTAATTCTTCTTACTTACCCTTCTCCCCATCTCTAAGAGTATCTCTTCTTTAAGAGATACAGTCTCACTATGTATCCCAGGCTAGGCTGAAACTCAGGATTCTCCTGCCTCAGCCTCCCAGGTACTCAGATTACAAGCATGAACCACCACACCCAGCTTGATTTTCTTAAGTATTTAGCTGGAGGGAAAAAAAATCATAGAACTAATGCTGGCCTTAACCTGAGGACTAAGGCATTAAAATTTTGTTTTGTTTGCTCCACTTGTGTTGTTTCCATCTTTTTAATCTTTGTTTTAAAAGCAGATGACTTCTTTCTGACTTACAGTGACACAAGACTGTGGCACACAGAAAGGGAGGTGGGGCTGCTGGGGAGGCAGAATGCTGGGGGGACAGGGTTGTCCTCCTCACCCCACCCACCTTGCCCTCCTGAGCTGAGGGCTCAGCTCTAGAAGCCTTCCTGTCCCTGGGCTTTCTATGCTCACAGCTAGGCACTTTTCATAGCACTCTAGACTAACCAGGCTGTGCTGCGCGATGGGCTTTGGCCCCTGGCCTGTGACACTGGCGGGGGTTTAACAAGCACATGTCTGTCCTGCGGTCCTGCCTGGGCCTCTGATGTCACTGAGAGAGAGCACAGGCTGGGCCTCCCTACCAGAAGTCAGGACACAGGCTAAGTCGAACAGGACCCTGCACACCAAGCAAATTCCTCCGATTGTGTGTTTCCTTGGCAAACCCTGGACTGGCTCAGACCCAAAGCTCTCTGGACCCCGAGCAGCTTCTGGTCCTCACCTCCTCCCAGCTCCCCAACCTGCTTGATTCAGCCTGACCTCCACCCTACAGGAAAAGTCAGGAAGGCACAGCCTACAGGGCAGGCCCCCACCCCTTCCCCCCCCCCCCGTGTCCTACAAGGACCAGGTAGACATGCGAGGAGACTGTCCTGCAAAGTGACCTTCTGAAACCCAGGCTTCTTGGTTTAAAGCCAACAATTAACTCTGCCTGTAGGAAACCCGCCCATCTCATTGGGCCATTTTCTGTCCCTCCCCCTCCTTCCTCCTTTTCCTTTCTCCCTCTCTCCCTCACCCTCTCTCCCTTTCTCTCACTCCACTTTGACCTCTGTGCATGCAGCCTCTGGACATGCAAGGGTCCCCTCAGGACCTGTTCACTTCCACCTTGTGTGTGTACACAAGGCAGGAAAGGCAAGGCAGCCCGGCTGCCCTCAGCTGCTGAACCTTGCAGGCTGCTGAGTACACCTTTGTAGTGTTGAGGCCTCTGAGGTTCGAGATCCCTGTCACACAGCCATGCTATAGTGAGAGACAACCCATGCAGTGAGAACACCTGTGGGTGTGTTACTGTAATGAAAGCTGGAAATGGGCATCACTGCTTTCAAGGTCCACAAGTGGTGGACCCAGAGGCACTCGGTAAATTTAGAGGTACTTGATAAAACCTGTGGCAAGAAAAATTGCCAAGAAAACTCCTGTGGGGCAAATCTAACCTGGTACCCTGCACTAGGCAGCATTAAAATAGCTGTTACCAAGCACCTGCCTGGAAAGTGCAGGTCCTGAGTTAAATTCCCAGTACCAAAACTAAAGAACTAAATAAATAATAAAATAGCTACTGAAATTGTCAACTTGGAAGCTAGAACACGTGCACCGTATACCTGTTTTGGGGATTCCTAAGTGGAAAGTCAACAGTTGGCTTCAGAGCCAAGATCCAGAGTGTGACTCTGAGCACCTGTTAAGATTGCTGAGAGAAGGATGGTGATAGGGGATGTTCCTGGGGCAGAGAGGCCTGGAGCTTACAGAGTGCTGCTCCTGGCTCCCTGACATTCCCCAAATCCTAGTGAGGGTAGCCTGCACCAACAAGAACCCCAAACGTGGCTTGCAAAGCTGAGTTATGGAATAAGCCTCATACACTGTGTAGGGCCCTCTGGCCTGAAGCCAGGCCTGGTGGGGCTCAGTGTGAAAGTACTGCCCAGCTGGAAACACAGCCCAACTTTCTAGGGTGAGCCTCAAGCACCCTCTTTATACCACACTGTGAGGTGTTAGGGGTGGGAAGAACACGGGGGGCAGGGGACAGAGGGGCCTTGTGGGTGATGAGCTGGCAACTCTTCCAAGGGCAGAATCAGGGCCAGCGTGAGCACAGCCCACAGCAGCCTGCTTTGCACCATTGAGCTAAATGCAGGTGCATGGTCGGCATGGCTGCTGGCCCTGGCAGTTTGCCTTGCAGCACTGTTTCAGCACCACAGGCTTAGCTCAAACGTGCAAAGCCAACAGTTCCAAAGGTGCTTGAGCCCCGCTCCACTCCTGCCAGTCTGCCTTCATCTGAGAGCGGTTCTACCAAGCTCTTCAGTAACCTGCACACTGCGTGCTGACCTTAAAATTAGTATGTGGGATTTTGCCATATTCAGAGGAAATGCTTTCCTCTCTTTTTTCTTTTTCCTCCAAAAAGCAGCTTTCTAGAGCTGTTCTGTGTTCTGAAAAGAGGTCGTGGGATTTTTTTCTCCACTGCCAAGTGACAAAGTCCAGAGAGTGAAGCGGGAAGTTACTCTCCTCTCAGGACTGCACTGAGCCACCAGGAAACATCTTCATCTCCAGAGTCAGGAGTTGCAGCTTATAGAAAAGTTCTCAAGCAGCAGTAGGAGGAGATGACCACTGGGGTGATATTTACTCCACGGGGGATAAAATCCGGGGCAAGACACAGTGTGTCCCTGAAATGGGGCAATGTGCTTAGCGTGTGTTTTGATTTTTATGTGAAGCATGCATGCTCTAAAGGGTGTTTTGATTAAATGAGCTAAACACTCAGGATGTGGGTAAAATAGTTCACACTCAGGTTGCACAAGAGACTTTTACAGGATCATGAATCATAGGTCATGTATATCATGGGCAAACTTCCATTTTTTTCTGCAAAGAACTATGAAAATTGTACCACTGGCATCTTGTGCCTACACCCTAAAATAGCCACTCATTAAGTTCTGAAGTCAATGCAGTCATTTGATGGGACATCAGTTTCCTTGGAACCCTAGAAAAACTCTCACTGCCCAGAGGTCCACACTCAACTCATTTGCAAGCCTGCACTTGGCAAAAGACATCAAGCAGCAGGAAACACTTCAGAAATCACACTCATAGACACAGCCAGTTTGGTGCAGAAGGGCGGTCTAAACCGAGGTGAAAGGAATGGGTTTTGGGGAGATCTGGCGGCCCCAACCCTTCCCTGGACAAGACCCAATCCACATTCTGGATGTCTCAGAGCTAAGATGCAATCATCTACTGTAAATAAGATGGCTTTGGAGGTGACCAGACTAAAAAGTCAAAGTGTGCACCCCGGAAAGAAACAGATTCCTTCTGCAGGAAGGTCTGTCTCAATAATGGTGCATAATACGTTGCAAAACATGAAGCAAATACGTCACAGGTGGGTTTTCTCCAAGGTACGAATGATGTCAGTTTCACACTGAGCTGTGAGTCTTTCTGCTGCTTTGAAAGGAAGAGCAGTTTGCCGGGACCTCAGCTGAAGAGGGGATTTTAAACCCTCACACTGTGACTTAGAATCTTCTTCTGGGATTAAATGGCAAAGCTTGACGGAGGATGTTTTCGTTGGGGATTTCTCGGGGAAGGGCCTGTAGGAAATTTATCCCCTGGGTGAACCTCCAGGTGTGTGGGTCCTCATCGTGCCCAACTTTCCCAAGCCCACTTGGAGGGTGCACATCCCCGCAGAAGTGCAGAGAAGCCTCCGGACCTCTGGAGATGTCATGTGTCATCAGCTCTGTGATAAGCTGGAGAACAGGTACCACACCAGGCTAAGCAAACACAAGGCTGTGGGCCATTTTTGCACTGCTGCCCTAGCTAAACTCATGTCATCCTCTCCAGTATCCCCTTGTCCTCTCCAGCATATGCCCTGGCATCACCATACTGTTCCCTGGGGCTGAGGATGAAAGCCTTGCTTCAGCCATCTCTGCCCATTTTTCCAATTGTGTTGATCTCTCTCCTGGGAAGACCTGCTCTCCAGCCTCTGTCCCTGCAGGTGCTGAAGTCTCCAGTCCCCCCATCCTGCAGCCCCGCCCCTCCCACCTCCTGTCTGCAAAGCCCTCAAGAAATTTCCTAATGTGCAGGACTTCCCCACCAGGGCCCCTAAGAGTGGTCCTGTGTCACTACCTCTGTCTCTGTGTCAGTCGCATCCACCCAGCCTCCTTTAAGATGAGGAATTCAAGTTTGTACACAAATACTCCTTGGGCATGGGGGAGAAGAATGACATTCCCAGTTAATGTCACTATGGAAACATTGAACACAAGATGAGCTTCCCACTCGCGTCACATCTGCTGGTCCTGCTCTGACCATAAAGGAGCAGTAACCCACTTGTCCTATTTCTTAACCACCAAAAAAACAACAGTTCAATATTCTCTTCCAAGGGGACGTTTACACACAAGCAGCCTCAGTCCCAGCCCAGGACAGCATCTGTCTCTGCCTCTAACTCTGCTTAGAAACATCTTTGGCTGCTGTTGCTGCTGCTGTGATTGTTGCTGTTGACCTTGGTGCTGGTTTTGTTACTGGACAGGGAACCCAGTCCTCACTCTGAGCCACATTCCAGGTCTTTTACTTTGAGACAGGGTCTCCATCACCCCTAAGTTGCCCAGGCTGGGCTCAAGTTTGCCATCTTCCTGCCTCAGCCTACCGAAGCATTAAGACTGCAGGCCTGTGCCACTGTGCTTGGCTTATGTGGGGTTTTTAGCCACTCTGGCTACTTTCTAAAACAGAGAAAAGGGGAAAAGTGCCATTACCTTTGCCAGAGGTCTTGGTTTTGTGGCACGCCCATTCACGTGTTGAGCTCTGCCCAGGACCCGCACTACGAAAGACCAGCGACCAAGGCTGTTGACAGTAAACACAGTGTCAGTGTCCGACCAGGGACATGGGACATAAGATGGCACTAAGGGGACATTCACCAGCCACACTGGTCAGAGTGGTCGCATGGTCTTTGCCCGACCTGGGGCAGAACCACGAGAGCCATGGAGGGGGCACCCCAGAGAGGCACCCAGCACAAGCTCTGCTTGGGAGAGGACTGGAAAGAGCCTGTGCTGCTTGGAAGAAACTGCTCAGCCAGGAAAGCAGTCACCTGTGGCCATGGCGGTGACCACAGCTCTGCACTGGACTCAGGTCACACTGCTAGGAGCCCACTACTCCTGGGACTGCAGCCATCTGAACCCCTTTGTCCCCTTGGCCCATCACCCTTCTCTGCTCCCTTCTTTCTCCAGTCTCCTACTACCTGGTCCTGGGAAGTATCAGGGGACCAGAGGTAGGTGAGATTCCCTTCCCTTTGGAATTCCCCCCACACCCTACACCTCCATCCCGTATATTAAGTGCCCCACTGAGTTTGAACCCTGGGCTTTTGAACTCATGGTTCAGGAAGATCTCCACGGGCAGATGACATGGCCCTGACTATGCTCCCAAAACAGCTGATGTGAGATTCAAAGTTGTGTCTTAAGCTTGATTTCCAGCTACTGGATAGAAAAAGATTTTTCCAGAATTATTTCTAGAGTAAATTATCTTTAAGGAAAACAAAAAAGTAATTTTCATAGCTAATGCTCAATAGCAGTTGACTTTTCCTAAACCACAAATTTCCTAACCATAAACTACACGCTTGACAAAATCCTTGAACTTTTTTTTAAACTAGGGGCCATTTTTCCAACTTATTTTGAAAACTGTGAAGCTGATAAAATAGGAATAATCAGGAGTACAAAATATACCTAACATACTTGAACCAAACAAGAAATAGATACAGGCAAAGATCAGCACCACAGAAACTAGACATCAAGAAAAATGCATTCAGTTTTCAAAGCACTTGTGGAAAAATGAATCTGTTCTACAATAATGGCTTTTTGAAAAGGATCCCGAACAGAGAAAGATAAAGTGTGGTTTCATGGTAGCTTACCCTTTTCTCCGACACCCCATCCTGACCTGCAGCATCTTTCTCATCTTCTGTCTCTTTCAGGACTCCCATATGTTTTTTTGTATGCTGGCTCTCTGTTTAAGGTTGTGTATCCTATGTGCTCATTGATTGGGTTTATCGTCATCTTGGCAATGTATTCTGCTGCCTTGGTTTCAATATAGAGAGTAATCAAGCCATCAGTCACCAGATCGTGGATGGACTCAAAGCGTTTCTCCCCGACAAAGTGCTTTCCATCGTAGCAGAGCCTCAAGTTTCTGGTTTGACTTCCAAATCTTAAAGCCTAAATGTAGGTTCCTGGCTGCCTCTGACTCTCCCGAATGAGGTAACTCCCCTCAGCCACACTCAAGGGCTGGTCAGCTGCTTCTCGAGAGATCATGCCGTGAAACTCTTTTCCATAATACTTTGGTCTGTTTTCTACCTCACAAGTACAGGTAATCCTCCGAGGATGAGGGGCTAACTGTTGTAGCTGATACAAGTAGGATTTCCAAACGGGAGGCCCATATTCATCAGCATCGAACAGCGTCAGGGCCATGGTCGCGGCCGCCGCCGCCCGCCGCCCGCCGCCGCCGCCGCCGCCCCGCCGCCCGCCGCCCGCCGCCCGCCGGGCCGCGCGCTCCTCCCGGGCGGGCCGCGCTCACCGCTTCGGCCAGACGCGCTCACACCTCGGAGGGCGCGGGTGGTGGAGCCGGCTGCAGGCCGGGACGCCCGGGGCCGCTGCAAGGCGGGAGGCCGGGCCGCGGCGCCGCAGTGGCGGGCGGACAGGCGGCGGGGAGCGGAGCAGCCTCGAGGAGCCCGGAGGGGCGCGCTCACGCTGCATCCCGAGGCCTCGCAGACGCCATCTTGCGATAGCGTCTCCCTGAGTCGGCCGCTCCGCTTCGCCGCCTCCCGCCGCCCTTTCCAAAAATGCATTTTTTAAAAAACGCATTGAAGTAACAAGGTTATTGAGGTCGAAAGTATTATTTTTAGGCTTCTGCTAGACAGGCCTGGAGGAAGACACACAAAAGAAAAATCCTTGTTGTCAATTAGAGTTCAGCCAGACTCTCACTCTCAGGTGGGGTCAGAAAATGTCAAACCCAAGGAAACAGAAAAATTGTTGTTGCCAGAAGCAGGGCCAGTGGGGATTAGAGAGATGTTGGCAAAGTACACAAAACATCAGTTAAGTGGGAAAATACATTTAAAAGAGTGATGAAACCCAAAATGTACAATAAATACTGTAATAAGAAAAGGAAAGAAAGTACTTAGAAGGACAAAACAACTGGGAAGGGGGAAGGAAAAAAGGAAGAAAAGGATTCTATATATACAAATGTATGGATGTACAAATGCTAGACAGATAACTGTAGTACTAATCCCAGTTAGGTCATCAAAAGGAACAGTTGTGCTGTCGTTGTTTGATGAATCATTTCTGTGCCTGGATTTTGTAACATGCACAGCTACTTCTAAGATGACAATATGCAATATATTAATTAATTAGTGTTAATTCCCTACTTTTTTTGGAATTCTGTATCATTTCTAACCTTTTTTTCTGTTTTGCTTTTTAAATTATAAAACAAAATTAGAAATATAAAAAGGAGTGTGTGATGCAGTGATTGCCATTGAAAACAATGTACTGTATGTCTGCAAACTGCTAAGAGAGTGCTTTCTGGTCATGCTCACCACAGAAGCGTGAGCAGGTAACACACGGTGCAAGCCACCTTATGCTGTTTAACATCCGCACCCTCTCTGGAAAAGCTGGACTCAGCCACTCCAAAATACATGCAGGTGTCAAAAATGCAATGTACATGGCACACTGTGTCGGATTTCCACTTGTCAACTGAAATAGGTGGGTGAGTGATCCAGCCAAGCCTAACTATCAGGCTCACAGATTAACACAGCAAACTTCAAACTTTCCCTGCTCCTAGCATCTCTTCCTCCAACTCACCACATTGACACATCAAGGTAACATCTTTCTGCAATGCTAATGTGATTATGCCAAGTCCTCTGATTCACCCATTATTTCTGAAACTTATTTGGCTGCAGAACTTTCCACTCGAAACCTTTTATGTTTCCATGTGCTTGCTGAACCCTCATAATTCCTGTGTGTCAGAAGGGATTTAGGACCAGGAACATAAAGCACTTTGATATTTATCCATTTGTTCTTTAGTCACCAGCATGCCATCCAATCGGAATAGACTTCAGTAGCTGGAGAGAAAAAAGCTCCTGATACAACAGGATGCTTCAGTCAAGGCTAAAGCATAAAAGCACAGAAAAACATTACAGGGCTTATGCGTACACAGAAGATGCAAGACAGAGAAAAATGAATAGTTGTGTCCCCCCAACAATTCTTGAGCAGAAGCGAGCTGGTCAGAGCAAAGGAGCCTCAGATACAGGTGAGCTCAGGAGGCACCAGGCCAAGAGCAGCCCTGCAGAATTCTGCAGCTCTGGCTGGGTTCTGGGTTCCTGCTCTCCTGCATTCCCAGCTTTGGTCTGAGAGAGGCAATGAGACCCAGCTCTGCAAAGCAAGCTTTCTACAGTCACCAACACTCCGAGGACCACAGCCTCGCACCGCTAACACACTCCCCTTGGCCATTTCCTTGCAGGTCCTCAACCTGGATGTTTTCCCATTTTTAGGCAAATGACAGTTGCCATGTGAGCCCTATGTGTCTTGTATTAACTAGCTGTGGAGATTTCTCTTGAGACGAGTTCCAATCAGTTTTCCACAGATTTCAGCATGTTTCTCCTCACAGACCAGGCAGTGACATCCTTCACATCAAGAAGGGAGGATTAGTTGATTGTGGTGGTGCATGCCTGTTACCCTAGCACTCAAGAGGCTGAGGCAGCAAGGTCACTGTAAGTTCTAGGTCAGCCTGGGCTACACAGTGAGTGCAAGGCCAGTCTGTACTATGCAGTGTGACCCTGTCTAAAAAAGGAGAAAAAAAAGGATTGGACAATCTAATTCTATACACTTTGTGCAACTTAGTCACACTTAGGGATGCTGAGTGGAATCTTGGTTGTTAATATTCGGCTCTCAGAACTCAAATAAAACTGTGCTGAGCAGCTGGAGGTCATTCCACCTGAAGCCTGAGGAAACGCACCCCCGTGGGGTGATTCTGGCTTCTCATCATTAATGGAAGACCACTCACCAGCTTCACTGAGACCTATGGGGTGGTGGGGGCGCTAGTGAGCAGCTGCAGGAGGCTAGGAATTGTTGGATTCTGGGATTACACGGTGAGGTGAAACTTTTCCTAGCAGCAGCCACCCAAGTGAACCAAAACTTCACAGCGACTTAGAAAACAAAACAGATGACTTTGTGGTTGGAGGAAAAACCCATCTTTTTCTCTTGACATTTTTGTTTAAAGATCAAAACTGCTGCAGAGCTTACCAGGCAGCCACAGGAGTCCTGGAATTCTGAGGGAGAAAAAGGGTCCCTGTGCCAACATGAAGAATTCATCCTAAAGAACAAAGGAGAGACCGGAATGGTCTTCACATCACAAAGCTATTTTATTTGCATAAAAGAGAGTTGGGGCCCCGGGAGCACCACCCACAAGCTGATGCCTCCACTGCCTGGGAGACAGAACTCTATTCCTCTTCCAGTGTGAGCTGCTAATCCAAGGGCAATGCTTTATCATGGGGCCAGCACTTCCTTCATGGGACAGGAGCTCCCTCAGCTTCCTGTGCTGAACCTACCAGCCTGGCTCCCAGACTTTGCAAGGGCTCCTGGGCTTGGAGAGGGATAGCGGTGCACTGTCCCTTGAGGAGGCAGCAGGAAACCATTCATTAACAAACCTAGCAGAACCCTTTTTCTGGCATGACTCAGGGACTTCATTACTTTGCAGGCTGAAGCAATGATTATATCTCCATTCCAAAGAAACTCAGGGTGGCGGAGGCTTAGGAAAATGTGCAGCAGTGGCTCGACACTTTTTCTATTACAGATTTTCCCTGTCACTGATAATGTTGGGGGCTCCCCACTTCCATTTTTTTCTAACATGCATAAATCATAGTTTACTTAAGTAATGGTAATTATTCTTAATTACTCAGACATTTGGAGAGAACAAAGGGAACTAACATTTACTGGATTGTAGGGATCTGCTCAATATTTTTACAAAATTCCTCTTCTCTAACTTTTAGAATAAGAAAGTAGGTGCAGCACAGGTCCATAGTCCCAGCATTGGGATTATGGGTCACCTATGAGGCAGGAGGGTCACCGTGAGTTCAAGGCCATCCTGGGCTACAATGCGTGAGTTTGTAAGAACCGGCGTCGCAGGGAAGAAGACCCCAAGGACTCAGCTCGTAGTGAGGAGTAAAAAGTTTATTTCCATGCGCGTGGGGTCCCCCAGGCAAACAAGTGCGGAGGGCCCCAAGGGGGAATTGTGCAGGGTTTTTAAGGGCGCAAGCGGGAGGCAAGCAAGTTTACAGAAGCAGATTGCATTGGTTAATTTTGAGCAGCATAGGACTTGGCAGAAGTTGATTGGAGGGGTTTGGGGTTGAGTAACCATGGAGACTGGGGGTCCTAGCCCAGTCACGTCACTATGTGCCCAGAACAGAACAGTTACTTGTCTTACTTATCTCGTTGAGACAGAACAACCTTGCAGGTGCATTCTTTTTTGCTCGGTTCTGATAGCTCTGGGGAGTTAGGCATTCCTTTCTGCTCTGCTCTGATAGCTCTGGGGAGTTAGGGAGTTAACCCTTTCATCCCCCCCTTCTTCTTGTAAATGGCCTTTAGGAAGTTAAAACTTAACCTAGTTGGATTTGAAGGGAGAAGGGGAGGGGAAGCAGCAGATAGAACGAGCTTTCTTGGTCTCTTCAAGTTCAAGGCCAGCCCGAACTACACAATGAGAGACTGTGTCTCAAAAAGGGAAAAAAGGAAGGAAGGAAGGGAGGAAGGAAACAAAGGAAGGGAAGAAGGAAGGGAAGGAAGGAAAGAAGGAAGGAAGGAAGCAAGGAAGGAACGAAGGGAGCAAGGAAGGAAGAATGAAAGAAAGAAAGAAAAAAAGAAAGAAAGAAAGAAAGAAAAAAAAAGAAAGAAAGAAAGAGAAAAGAAAGAAGAGTACAGTTCCAAGAGGTGAAGCACCTGGCCAGAGGTCACAAGCACAGGTCAGGCCTGCTGGGCTCCAAATCCAGGTTCCCGGTCCAGTGCGTGGCGGCAGTGAGACCACCAGGACCACACCGATTTGGACAAGGAAGGTTCAGTGGATGGATACATGACATTTCCCTTAACCAGGTTAATAGAAGTATGTTTTCCACGTAATTTTTTGAAACATCAAAAAACTTAGAGACTTCTCTGGGGACCTGAGTTTAGAGTTTACCAGTTAACCCGGAAGTGATACTAAGAGAGTTATGAATTTAATTCAGTTAACCCGGAAGCGATACCAAAAGAGTTAATGTATTTAATTCCTCTGCTGTGTTTGGTTATTACTTTTTAAAATGACCCTGCTTATGGTTCTTCAACTCACCAGCCCCCTTTGCTTTACACATGCTATGGATGGTGGTGCAGACCACGAAGATGTGGGCGTGTCTGTCCCCCAGAGGTTTCTGTGTAGGCAGCCTGGGAATGTGGTGGGGGAGGGGACACACTGACCCTTAAGAGGTGAGGACTGATG